TGCCGAAGGGAAAGGGACTGGGGAGGGTGGGTGGGAAGGGAGGAATAAGGGGGAAAAAGGGGCATTATGATTAGCACACATAATGTCGGGGGTGGGCAAGGGAAGGCAGTGCAACACAGAGAAGACAAGTAGTGATTCTATAGCATCTTACTACGCTGATGGACAGTGACTGTAATGGGGTGTGTGGTGGGGACTTGATAATGGGGGGAGTCTAGTAACCATAATGTTGCTCATGTAATTGTACATTAATGATACCAAAAAAAAAAAAGGATACAAAAGTTACACAGCATCATCTCGTTATCTTTTTCTTAAGTTGTTTTCTTTTTTTAATAAAAGGTTATCTCCCAAAAAAAACCCACATGATAAACAAAAATAGAGAACTCATTACTGGCATATCTGGTTTACAATAAATGCTAGAGTATCCTTCAAGTAAAATGAAAGGACAGGACAGTAACACAAATCCCCATGAAGAAATAAATATCAGTAAATGATACTACATAGACAACAACATAAATGTATTTTTGTTTGTACCTCTTAGTCTTTTCCTATCTTATTTAAAAGACAACTTCATAAAGCAAAACTATAAAATTGTGTTGATGGGACTGTAATGTAATATACTTTGACAATAATGGCATGAGAAGAGGGAAAGGAATGGAGCTATACTGGAACAAAGATTGATATGCTATTAAAATTAAATGGCATTAATCTGAAATACATTGTTTTATGTGAAGATGTTTACTGTAATCCTCAGGGAAACAACTAAGATAACTCAAAAAAATATTGTGAAAGAAATAAGGGAAGCAAATGGTATACTCAGAAATATCTAATACAAAAGAAAGCAGAGGGGGAGGAAGAAAAAAACAAAAGGACATAAGACATACAGAAAACAAATAGCAAAATGGCAGACATAAACACTAAAATCAGTTATTAAATGAAAAGTAAATAGACTGAACACTTCAATCAACAGGCAGAGATTGGCAGAAGGGATGTCTCTTAAAGTGGTATGAATATATACTGTCTAACGAAGACATGCTTTAAATTCAAAGATACAAACAGACTGAATGTAAAGAATGGAAAAATATACTATGTAAAAAGTACATAAAAATAACTACTACTATGTATCAGACAAAATAGACAAAAATTATTAGTAGAAACAATATTTTATAATGATAAACCACTTTATGTACCAGTAAGCCATAACAAATTTAAGTATATTCACCTAACAAAAGAACTTCAAAATATAGAAAGCAAAACTCATAGATTGTAAGAGACAAAGAGACAATTCAACAACAATAGTTGGAATCTTCAATACCCTAGTTTCAACAATGGATAGAATAACAAGGCAGAAGATCAAAGAGGAAACAGAGGCTTTGAACAGTACTGTAAACAAACTAGATCTAGCAGACATCTGTAGAACACTGAGACACCCAATAACATACATTCTTTTCATGTGTCCATGGAATATTCTCCAAGATGACCAGGTGTTAGGTCACAAAACAGTTCTTAGTATATTTTAAAAGACTGAAATCATACAAAGTATCATTTCTGATCACAATGGAAAGAACAACAAATCAGTAAGAAAGAAAACTAGAAAATTCACAAATATGTAGAAATTAAACAAGACTCTTAAAAAACAACTAATATGTCAAAGAAGAAATTACAAGGGAATTTAGAAAATATCTTCAGAGAAATGCAAATGATCACTTTATACAAAAAACTTGTGGGATATAGTGAAAGCAGTGTTTGGTTGTAACTGAATAGCTGCAAATGCCTATATTAAAAAAAGAAGAAAACCATCAAGTCAATAACCCAAATATATATCTTATGGAATTAGAAGAGTGAACTAAATGTTTTTAAAGAGCAGAAGGAAATAAGAAAATTAGAATGGAGATAAAATAGAGAATTGAGAAAATCAACAAGAGCAAAAGTTGGTTCTTTGGAAAGATCACAAAAATCACAAACCCTTAGCTAGACTGACAGAAAAAGAGAGGACTCAAATGACTAAATCAGGAATGAAAAAGGAGACATTACTACTGATCTTACAGAAATAAAAGAATTATAAGGGAATACTATGAACAATTATATGCCAACAAATTAGATGACCTAGATGAATTGGACAGATTCCCAGAAAAACATAAACTACCAAAACTAACTCAGGAAGACATAGAAAATCTGAATAAATCTATAATACTTAAACTTCCCACATAAATGGCTTCACTGGTGAATTCCATCAAATTTCAAGAATTAACACCGTTCCTTCACTAACTCTTCCAAAAAATAGGAGGAAAAAATTCCCAACTTGTTCTATGAGACAAGTGCTAACAAAGAAAGACATCACAAGAACACTACAGATCAGTATCTCTTACAAATGTAGACACAAAATCCTCAACAAAATATTAGGAAATTGAATTGAGCAACAAATAAATGCAGTATATGCCATGGCCAATGGGATTTATCCAGGAATATGAAACTAATTTAACATCTGAAAATAAGTCAAGGTAATATAATATGTTAATAGTATAAAGAAAAAAACCACACAATTACCTTAATAGACTCAGAAAATGTATTTGAAAAAGCCCAACAAACTAGACAGAAGCAAATTTTATCAACATGACAAAGCTCATCTATGAAAAACTCAAATCTAACACCTTACTTAATGATGAATGGCCACATGCATTCCCCCAAGATCACAAACAAGACAAAGATGTCCTCTCTCTCCACTTTTATTCATGTACTGTAAGTTTTAGCAAGGGAAATTAGACAAGAAAAAGAAATACAAAGTATCCATATTTGGAAAGGAATAAGTAAGCTTTTATTTGCAAATGATATAATCTCTTTACAGATACATTATCTAGTACATAGAAAACTCTAAAGGTTCCACACACATACACATGCAAAAAAACCCTATTATAATTAAATAAATTAGTTCAGCAAGTTTCAGGATACAAGATTAATATACATAGGTCGGCTATTTATATATAGCAGCAATGAATATTCCAATATACATTTAAGAAAAAAATTGATTTAAAATAGCAAAAAGAACAAAACACTTAGGAATAAGTTTAACAAAAGATGTGCAAGAAATACACTGAAAACTACAAAACATTACTGAAAGGAACTGAAGAATACATAAATGGGAAGACATTCCATATTCTTTCTATTGGAAAATTTAATACAGTCAAAACAGCAATATTTCCCAAACTGACTGAGATTCAACATAAGCCCTCTGAAAATTCCATCTCGCTCATTTTGCAGAAATAGAAATGTTTAAAGTTATTATGAAAATATTGGTTCTACTCGAATTAAAATTAAACAAAGCTAGTTCAGTACTTAGGAACAGGATGCAGAATTTAAGGAAGAGATAGACAGAATTAATCTGCCAGGGATTCCCTCCATCAGAAGATCAAAAATAAACCATATGAATTATTACCATGTCAAAAATCATGGTACTTTCCTAAGGGTAATGATTCAAAGTCTGAAATAATGAATATTTTTATCTTACGTTAAAGTTTAAACTGTCATATGTTAAGGGATAATTTCAAGAATCACTGGTCCAGTACTACTTCAAAAAAACTATGTATACAATTGAATCTTAAATATATTTTTCTCATAAACATAAAGAAAAACTCAGTTTTACACAAAACATTTTGGGAATAAAAGCAACTTTCAAAGCATGATTTTCAAAAACTTATAAACAATTCTTAGAAAAAGGAGCTGAACTTCTACATAAAATTTTAAAAAACCATAATTCTCCTAAAAGTATAGCCAACATATATCAGATATTTACTTAAGTCATTAATGAGAGATCAGCTGCTTGACAAAGCTGGTTTAAAGGGCATACCAGAAAAGGGTATATATTGGCAGTAGAAAAAAGAATGCTGGAATAAGATCGCAAAATTAGATAGAAACCTGGTGAATGTCCTACAGAACAATAAAACCATATCTGTGGGTATTATCTTTTCTCCAAGGTAGAAATAATTTGCAATTTTTCAGTTTTCTACAAGTTGACATCTAACTTTGAGGATCTGGATATGAAAATAGTAAGTTATAAGTTAAACATAACCTCCTCTACTATGTCAGATGACCCTTAGGCTGGTTAGACAATGGTCTAATATGGTACTGAAAAAGCATACATTTATCTTTTCCTTTATTTCTAACTTTTAGGTAAATTCTTAACACAACTCATGAACTTCTGATTTTTGTATTTTCTGGAAAAATCAGGTGGATTCTGTAACCACAAATAAAAAAGTAAGCTTAACAAACATAATGAAATAAAAAACCTAAACCAATATAAACTCATCTTAATAAAATTTCCATTTCCACGGAATGGAATCTAAAAAATAAAACAAATGAACAAACAAAACAAAACAGAAACAGACTCACAGACATAAAATAATCTGGTGGTTGCTAGAGGGGAGAAAGATGATAGGGTGGGTAAAATAAGAGAGAGAAATTAAAAGGTATAAACTTCCAGTTATAAAATAGGTTTAAGACACAGGGATACAATGTACAACATAGGGAATATAGTTAATGACATATAATATGTAACAACTTTGTATGGTGATGGATGGTAATGAATAGTAGCTAGATTTATTGTGGTGATCACTTCAGAATGTATATAAATGTTGAATCCTTATGTTATATACTTGAACTAATGTAATATTGTATGCCAACTACACTTCAATTGAAAAAAAAAAGAATAATTTCCAGTGATGTTGATGTATTCTTGACAATTTTAATGGTACTGGGTCTTACAATTCAAAGCAAGAGTCAGATTATGTGATAAAGAATACTTTATTATTAGCAATTATGTTGTGTATCTGTCAAATTAGAGCTACCACAACTGAGAGAAATAAAATCTGTTAATCGATGCTACCAGGGGTTAGCATACCTATCACTGCAAGTCATTGTGACCTAGCAATGAACTGGGAACATTAAGAACTAGGGACAGTAAAGAGGCACTTCTCTTTATTCCCCTGAAATACAATGTTAAGAATTACCTTTACCAATTCTGGTTCTTCTGCCTGAAAGTGAAGATCTTCACCTGACCGGGAAACTTCAGGACTCTGAGGGGATACAGGATAAGACCACTCAGGGACAGGCTGCCTATGACCTACAGCAGAGCCTCAACCCGTCACCACCAGTCCACTGTGGATGTGGTGTATAGAGCATGACCTGGTTTACTGTTTTACATAGGGTTGAAATTAAGGTTTCATAGTAACATCCAATCATAATCTTCTTTGCCCTCATTTGAGATGATGACAGATACAAGAAGGAGAAAGTATAACTGCATGGTTTTTAAAGGCTTTTAACAAAGAACCTACCAAAACAAAAATTTATAACACGGGGCCCTCAGATGCTACATAATTAAAATTCACTTGGGGATGAAAACAATTTCTCAGAAAGTATTTATCTTGCTCAAGAATAATATTCAAAACCTACTAACACCATGCGTTTTCTACAGAGGAGGAAAATCCTTACAGCTCTGTGGGTGTGCAGGCACGTCTCAATAGTCATTCAGGAAATATTTCAGGGACCTCTCATGACATTTTCTCCCAAGTTTTATTAACTATATCCATACGAGGGCCTGATTTTACAAGTGAAATGAAATTTTACTATACCTTCTGTAGTATGCTTACTAATTTTTTATTTTGTGCCATTTTTAAAAATAGGTAATAAAATTATTTGAATTCCATTGAGAAAAGTGGTTATCTAAATTATCTCCTCCCAAGTTTTTATCTAAAAAAGTACAAATATTTGGCTTCCAGAAAATTAATAATGATATGAACCACAACCTCTGAGAATTAGGGATGTTTGATCAGGCTAATACTAGACAAATATTTTGGATCTATTGATCAAGTGCAACATTTGGTTTTTATTTATCTTTTCAATGGTATGTTTTAAGGGCAATTTACATGTTATACATCTTGGCAACAAAGAATAAAATATCACTACTAGAGGCTATTATGGATCATTACTACAACAAATTATATTTTTCAGTACTGCCTTTCTTCTGAATCTATTTCCAAAAATCACTGCTAAAGCACAGCTTTTATCACATTAATACCCATCTCAAACAGATACACATTCATACAAATGTCTTCAGGAAAACATTAAAAGATTCACCTTAAATATCTAATTTCCAGTCCCAACTTTCATAACTTTCCACCTTGAATATCACTAGCTCACCCACTGTTCTCTACCTCAGCTTTGCCCTTAAACTCCCTTCTTACCTGAAGTACCTTACAAATACTTTATGACAATTTAAATCCTACATGTAATTGGGTACTACTAATCATCCAACTCACCATTAATTATCCCAACTATCTATGAGCTTTCCATGACCAATTTATGCCCAAACTAATGGCCCATTTCTTTCCTTACATAGCACTCCTCTATACATTATACTAAACAATTATCATTCACCTAAATAAATTAGGTAACTATTTCTTCTGTATTCCTTACCTCAATGAGACTGTAAGCTCCCTACAGCCAAGCACTGTGTCTTAAACATCTTCTTTCTCTCCATGTCATCTATTAAGCTTGATCACTTCTTAGTGGGTAGAAAAGGAGAGATCACTGAGGGTGGGCACAGGGGAATAGTCCCTATGAATTAAGAGGGGATGTGTGTACACATTTTTTCCAAAAATTTCCTGAACAAAATTTTCCAATTTAAAATATTCCACTCTATTACTCCTTAAATAACTGAAAATTTCTGGGAACAATACAAATTTAACATCAAAGGTAAATTTCCCAGAATGCCTATCATATTTAAAACTAGACCAGATAAGTTCTGAAATATCCTATTTGGTTCAGTATGTATAATGAATCTTCCTATAGATTACAAGCTTTACTATGATGAACCCAATTTTCACAGGTCAAATAATTTGATTCAGTTACCAGAAGGGGTGAGGTCCAGAAGTCACAAGGCTTCAGGAAAAAGAGACAAGCTCTCAAACCAAAACAAAGGTCAGTAACAGAAGAAACTCCAACCTACCAGAGGTCCAACGGAAAAAATCACAGCAGCCATAATCTCTTCTTCTGTGTTGCCCTCTCTGGAAAGAGGGGAGACCTGCAAAGACATATCTGAGAAAGAGAAATAAGCCATAAAAACCAGTCCTACCTTAGAAATCTCAGGCTCACCAAGTTGGAATCCTGACATTACAAGTTAACATGATTTTCCTAACAGATATAAGATTCTTCCTAACAGAAAAGAAGATTCTTGCTCCTAGCTGTTCTGAGATTTTAATATCATTAAATGTACTCACGGCTAGGAGGCCAAAGAGCTTTGAAATATTTTCTTATTTGATCTTCACATCAACTTATTGGGAATTATATTCCTGTTCCATACATGAAGAAATTGAGACTTAGAAAAATTGAACTATTCACCCAAGGTTATGCATTACTCCAAATCAGTCTATCATTGCCCACACCTTTTCCATTACATTAACTTGATGTGTGATATGAAAGAAAATAATTCAACCTTGTCACAATCACCTACTCATTAAAAAATGAAATTCTAAGAATTCTTTCTCCTATGTTTCCTGTGACGAGTCAATTTGCTAAAATTGTAGAGACCTCAACTTTATGTAAAGAGAACACTACAACTTCCACACTTAAAAGCTATTAGAAACCTTGACATGTCTAAATCTCATATTCAAACAGATCTTTATCTACCCTTTCCATCAGGCAAACCCAAATAAAAAGGAAGCAAGGATAACAATAAATATAAAAGAAAGTGGAATTAAATGCACAAAGCACTAAGCAGTAGTGTTTTTTAAAATTAAAGAAGGTATATGCTGCTTAATGTAATCATATTATTTGCCCTGTAGGGCAAAAATCTTGTTCAGGCACCCTGGGCAGCAAACTGCTTTTTCTACCTTGATTAAGGTTATGGCCTTGCTGATGCTAAGTTTGGTTCAAAAACAAGAATAGCGTGATGTTTGTAAACCTTCTTTTAGATGTGTAGCTGCAGAATGACAAATAACAGGGCAGTAACACAATGAGAATTGAGCTTCCCAGAGCCTGTGAAATTCTACTTTTTTAATGACAGTTTTCTAAGCAGTTCAACATTTTTACCACCCTGTAGGGCTTCTGGGGTCCAAAGGAACCTAAGCTGAATCTGTCCCTGCCTTAGTGGACAATTTGCCTCTAAGAGTCCACATTCAAGAGGTTTGTATTCAAACATGTAGTTTGAAGACCAGCAGCATCACCAAAGCTTATGAGAAATGCAAAATCTCAGGACCAACAACAGGACCTATGGGACCATAATCAGCCTTTTAATAAGATCCCTAGTTGATTCATATACACATATTAAAGTTTAAGACACACTGATCTAAAATAAATCAGTGCCAACAAACTGGACAATCTAGAAGAAATGGATAAATTCTTTGAACACACAACCTACCAGACCGAATTACAAAGAAACAGAAAATCTAACAGACCAAGTACTAATAAGAAGACTGAATCAGTAATAAAAAATACCCCAACAAACAAAAGTTCAAGTCCAGATGTCTTCACAGGAGGACTCTACCATTTAAACAAGAATTTAAATATACTAATCCTTCTCAAACTATTCCAAGAAATAGAAGAGGAGGGAAAATTCTAAACTCATTTTATGAGGCCAGCATTATCTTGATACCAAACCTAGGCAAGGTTATTATAAGAAAAAAAATTAGGGGCGATATCCCTGATGAGCACAGAAGCAAAAATCCCCAACAAAGTAGCAAACTGAATTCAACACTACATTAAAAGGATTATACACCAGGATCAAGTGGGATTTATTCCAGGGATTTAAGGATTGTTCAATACCTGCAAATCAATGTGATATAGCATATAACAAAATGAATTGTAAAAATCATGTATCATCTCAATAATGCAAAAAAAGCACTTGACAAAATTCAACATCTACTTATAACATAAACTCTCAACAAAATAGGTACAGAGGGAGAGTATCTCAACACAATAAAAACTAAACACAGTTAACATTATACTCAATGGTGGAAAGCTCAAAGCTTTCCCTTTAAGATCAGGAACAAAACAAGATGAGGATGCCCACTCTCACCACTTTAATTCAACACAGTATTAGAGGTCTGAGTCAGAACAATTAGGCAAGAAAAATAAAAGACACCCAAATTGGAAAGGAATAAGTAAAACTGTCACTATTTGAAGATGATATATACAGAAACCCCTAAAGACTGCCAAATAACTGTTAGAATTAATAAATGAGTTCAGTAAAGTTACAGGATACAAAGTCAATATACAAAAATCAGTTGTTTCTATACACTAATAATGAGCTATTTGAAAAAGAAATTAACAACCTCATTTACAATTATGTCAAAAATAATAAAATACCTAGGAATAAATTTAACCAAGGGGGTGAAAGACCTGTACACTGAAAATTATAGAGATGAAATGGAAATATATTCCATGCTCATGGATTGGAAGAGTACTACCAAAAGCAATCCATAGATCAATGCAATCCCTATCAGAATTCCAATGGCATTTTTCACACAAATAGAATAAATGATCCTGAAATTTGTATGGAATCACAAAAGACCCTGAAGAGCCAAAGCAATCTTGAGAAAGAAGAATGAAGGCATCACATTTCCTGATTACAAACTATATTACAAAGCACTATGGGATTGACATAAAACACATATAGGTCAATAGTACAGAGGAGAGAATCTGGAAATAGACCCATGCATATATATCAATTTATGACAAAGGAGCCAAGAATATGCAACAGGGAAATATACAAGGATAGTCTCTTCAATAAATAGTACTGGGAAAACTGGACAGTCACATGCAACAGAATGAAACTGGACCACTATCTTAAAAAAAATTAACTGAAAATGGATTAAACTCTTGAATTTAAGACCTGAAACCATAAAACTCCTAAAGGAAAACATAGGTGGTAAGCTTCTTGATATCAGTCTTGGCGATGATTTCTTCCTGGCTTTGACACCAAAACCCAAAACAAGTGAGTAGGACTGCATCAGGAAAATGAAAAAGTCACCTACAAAATGGGAGAAAATATTTGCACAAATCATATATCTGATAAGGGGTTACTATCCAAAATATGCAAAGAACTCATATAACTTATTAGCAAAAAACAAACTGATTTTAAAAAAAGGGCAGAGGATTTGAATATGTATTTTCTTCCAAAGAAGACACACAGATGGGCAACAGGTATAGGAAAACTCAACATCACTAATCATCAGGGAATGCAAACCAAAACCACGAGTTATCATCTCATACTTGTTACAATCACTATTTTCAGAAAAACAAGAAATAACAAATGTTGATGAGGATGTGGAGAAACTGTTGGTGGGAATGTAATTTGGTGCAGCCAGAATGGAAGAGTATGTAGGTTTCTCAAAAAATTAAAAAATGGAACTACCATATTTTCATTCAATTCCACTCCTGGGTATTTAACCAAAGCAAACAAAAACACTAACTCAAAAAGATATCTGCACCCCCATTTTCACTGCAGTATTATTTACAGTAGCCAAGACACAGAAGCAAATTACATGCTCATTAGTGGATGAATGGAGAACGAAAATGTGGTGATATACACACACACACAATGAAATATTATTCAGCCACAAAAGAGAAGGAAACCCTGCCATTTGTGACAACATGAATGGAACTTGAGGGAATTATGTTAAGTAAGTCAGACGGTGAAGTGAAAGACAAGCATGAGCTCACTTATGTGTGGAATCTAAACAAACAAATAAACAAAAGCATACCCAAACTCACAGTACAGAGAACAAACTGGTGGTTGTCAGAGGCAGGTGTACGTGTGTGTGGGGGTTGGGACACAAAGAAATGGGTGAAGGTGGTCAAAGGTACAAACTTCCAGTTATAAAATAAGTAAGTCTTGGGGTGGAATGTACAGTGTGGTGACTATAGTTAATAATCCTGTGTTGTATATTTGAAAGTTGCTGAGAGAGTAAATCTGAAAAGTTCTCATCATAAGAAAAAAATTTATAAGACATGTGGTGATGGATGTAAACTAGACTTATTGTGGTGATCACTTTGCAATATATATTTGCCAAATCACTATGCTGTACACCTGAAACTAATGTTATATGTCAATTACATCTTATTACATAAAAAATGATGTAATAAGTATCTTTGTGCGTGAAAAGAGAGAGAAAGAAAGCTCTTACTACAAAACATAGATAAATAAAATAGATCATCATTCTAGGATATTTGGGCCAAAGTTCATAATAATAAAGAAAAAGTGGAGACACCTAAATTTGGGATCAACACTGCCAATTTAAACACATAGGTTGATATGACAACATGTAGTAGGATCCATCAAAGTTGTGAAAAGAAGAAAAATAGCACTCAGAGTATAATAAAACAATGAATATGATTAACAGAAAAAGGCCATAAGTTCATGATGAGACAGAAAAGGTACAAATAGTAATAAATAAGAAAATAGTTATCAGCAAATATGGGTTAACGGATTGGTAGCCATCAGAAAAATAGAAAGATATGAGTCACGATGGCCAGATACATGACCGTCCACTAAACCCATCAGGAATGTCTAGGCACCATTTCCCATCCCCCGGCCCCTTCTTAAATGAGGACGTGGCCTTAACTGATTCTGAGTTTGATTTAAGAACCAGGGGTATCTGATGAACGATACTGTTTAAAACTAAATGGTACAGATTGTTCATATAAATTCCCCCAGAATGGTAGTATTAGCCTTGGGTCTAAAAGGGCAGTGATAGAGCAAGTTTTGAGTCTTTCAGAAACCCTACTTTGTACAAAAAGTTTTTACCAGCAGTTGCATGGCTGACCCCTTGATTAGGGACTTTGTTTTGATTAAACAGGTTGAATTTGCTCCTGCCCTGAATGGGCACCTTGCTTCCATAAGATTCAGTAGCTTTTGCTTAATAAACATAGCATAACTTAATTTAATCTTACAGTTTGTGCCAATCAGAAGCTCATCTGAAATAATACTTGCAGTAAACAACCACTATCTCCTGGAAAACAAGAATATATAAAGCGAGGCTGTTATAAATTCAAAGAACATTAGAGATAGAAATTAGATATGAGTATACTGAAATGTAAAGTCAAAAGTTATTTCCAAGCATTCATGGAACATTTGCTAAAATTAATCATACACCACAAAGATCAACAAACACAAAGAAAAATCTCAAAAAAAAAATTAAGTACTACATTCTCTAACCATGATACAATTACACAAATGTAAATGGAAGTCTGGAGGGAGAAAATAAAACAAACCTATCACCTGGAAATTAAAACAGACCCTCCCAAGTAGAGAGAACTTTAAAATGTAATTGCCAGTGAATTAGAAAATGAGAGTATTATAAATTAAAAACTCATGGGTTACTGCCAAAGTTTTATAGGGATTCAATTTGTATCCCAATACATTAAGTAACACAAGAATGAAAATATTATACATTCAACTAAAAAAGAAAAATAATTGAGTCACAAGGAATAAATAAAGGAAGAAACTAATGAAAAAGAAAACTTCAAACAAAAACAGCTGACAAAGGCAGAAGCTGATTCTCTAAATAATGAAATATACTAGCTACCAGCCAGTCAGAAAAGAAAAAATATCAATAAACCAAAAATAGAAACAAGGGGCTATAGCAGATAAACATCTTAAAACATAGGCCAATACAAATAAAATTGCCCAAAGAACATTTTTATTTAAAGATTTTCTAAAACTAACTCAAACCAGGGAACTTAAGTAGCCCAATGTAGCCGAGACTGACTGTTAACACCTTCCAATATCCAGACTCCCCTTCTACTTGAGAGAGGCTTGAAATCTCAGCTGGCCAGAAGGCCACCCAGCTAAAGACGCTTCCCCGCCTCCTTGCAGGCAGAGGTGTACCTGTCACTAAATTACAGCAAATGGGATCTGAGTAACAGAGGTGTATGCGACTTCCAGGTCACATCTCTCAAAAGGAGCTATTTGCCCCCCAGTTCTTCATCTCCCCTTCCAAAGAACTGGAATGTACAGTGTGACAGTGAGACAGCCTCTACCAGGACAACACTTGAGGAGGAGGTGGAGCAAAAAGATGGATGGAATATGAGTTTTATAAGACTTAATGGACCAGAGCTGCCTACTCCACCCACCCTCTTCACTGCCAGCCACCTACCAACTCAGACTTTCATGAGAAATAATTGTCTTGTTCAAACACTGGACTCAATTAAAACTGCAAAATTAATTTCCTAGCTAACAGAATGAACAATCATGAAAGAAAAGTTATCAGGTAAGCAACGGGGAACAGGATTTAGTTTAAGTCAAGAAAACATGTGAATATCTTAAGAATGTAGGTAAGTTTGTTCTATGACACTGAGGTTTCAGTAGGCACAACGAAAAGATTTTGATGAAGAGAAACAGTAAGTTGAAGAGGAAAAACAGTGTAGTGAGGTGATAAGACTTGGCTAAAGAAAGAATGATCTGAGAGGATTCCTATATTGAAGTCTCCAGGTTATCAATAAGTGGCTTTCCCTTATACTCATGTTTCTTTACCTCGTTTCAAGTCATGGATTCCTTTGCAAATCTAGTGAAAATGATGACTCTTCTCTTAAAATGGAGGATGCAAAAAGTTTACTAGGCGTGATATAAAAAGGAAATTCTTTGGCTCCATCCAAGATCTAAATTGGGTCTCCAGGTGTGAGGGCAGAAATCAACATTTTCAACAATTTTCAGGTTCTTACTTTGAAAAACACTGTTCTAAAGCTAACTCCTGAACCCCAAATTAAAGACTTCCTTACACATTTGAAAATCCAATGAAGTATGTTTTACCAAGAGGATTCTAGAGCACAGGCAAAGCTGTTGGCTCTGCATTAGTTCTCTCAGCTGAATTTCTGCTTCAAGCCTGGTATTTCTCCAACCAGTTCAGAAGCAACGCTTGAGGCAACTACAACCACAATTCAAAACGATTACAGCTGTGCTGACAAATATTAACAATGACTACGTGTCAATGCCAGTAGATCTTAACTTTTTGGTGTTACAGATCCATTTGACAGTCTGACCTTATCCACAGAATGTATGTGCATATATAGTGTTGCATATTATTTCTGGGAATTTTGAAAACTGACACCCCTGACACCTTACACTGACACTCAGGTCAAGAAATCCAGTTTTACCAGGTTGGAAGGAAAAAAATGGGCTAAGAAAGAATAAAACCTGTTTTTTTCCCTGAACACAAAAGCAGACCTACAAAGAGTGACTTAAGACATTTTCAATTCCAATGAACTACAGTAATGGCTCCCTGTATCTTTAAAACTTATTAAGAAT